CAAAAGCAAGTACTGTCCAAACCCAGTCATAGATTTATTCATAGATCCAGTCAAAGATGTATTTCAGTCATTTCTGGTTTAAACTGAGATCCCTTCCCTTTATAACTCACTTATCCTCCGCCATTCCCAAGTCAAGGGTCGTATATACTGACCCAATAGCATATCTTGAAAACTAGAGCCAATCAACAATTTTAAGCATAATTTTCGTTCTCAGTGACCCAGAATTAGTAAAGTTTGACTACATTTATTTCAGAAGCATTTTGGCTGTAGAGCAGTGTAATCTTTGTACCAAGCATGCCTTCTGAGATATCATTTAAAAACTCTATTTTCTGACCAATAATATCATGGCAATATGCATGTAGCAGCATTATATGTGAAGTTATAAACATAAATTGAGATTATGACTAGGGCCACATCTACACTACCGGCTAAACTGGTACTGCTGCGATTGATGCAGTGGTGTTGATTTAACTGATCTGGTGACGACATGCTAAATCAATGGGAGAGCATCTCCCACTGACACAGCGCAGTGTACACACTGTGGTAAGTGGATGTAGCTACGTCGACTTCTGTTACGTTATTCACGTAACTTAGATTTATTTACCGTGGTAGTGTAGACCAGCCCTAAGGTTTGGTCTACTCTACAGAGTTTGGACAACGCAAGGCAACTTATGTCGACCTATGAAGCGTCTACACTTAATTTCACTCTCACCAACGGAACTGCCCCACTACATTGACTTAACTCCACCTCCGTGAGCAGTGTAGTCAAGGTGATGTAGTTTGGCATTGCTTACCTCGACTGTTACTGGCTTTCAGGAGCTGTCCCACAAATGCACTATGCTGACAGTACAACTGATACAAGCGTTCCTGGTGAGGATGTGCACCATCAATACCAGGAGCCAAGTGTAAACAATGCGCAAGCGATGTAATTACTGTGGCAGCAGTATGCTGACATAAGTCAGATTGACTTAATTTTGTAGTGTAGACATGGCCAGTAAGTTTTCCGGAGGTGTCTGGGGAATGGCCAAACCAGTTTCTCAGAGACAAAGGGCAAACTGATGCCTCAGACAGGTGTAAATAAGCTGATGGGCCAACTACTCACTAAGCGGCCATTCTTTGGCAGGAAAGGGGGGGGGGGAAAATCTACATCTTAGTAAAGAAACAGCATGAAAAGTCCCCTTCCAAACAGACTGCCTGTTCTCCTTGCTCCCAGATGGAAATACTTCCCAAAGGAAGGAAAGGACTATAAGAAGATGCAGACAACCCCAGGCACCTCCACCTTCCCCATCGTTCATCGACTGACTGCATAAATATGGACAAAGGAAGCAGCCATTAAACAGAAATGGTCCTGGCCTAAGAAGTTTGTCCAGTGAGACTGTTGAGAGCACGTGGTAAGAAACTTTGCTTTGAATTTAACATAAGTTTGTTAAGTTAGGCACTAGTTGCATTTTATCTTTATTTTTCTTGTAACCATTTCTGACGTTTAGGACTCATTACTTGTATTCATTTAAAATTGCTCTCTCTATAGTTAATAAACTTGTTTTATCTAACCCAGTGTGTTTGAACTGAAGTGTTTGGGAAACTCTCTTTCAGATAACAAGATGTGTGCATATAATTTCTATTAATAAAATGACAGTCTTTAAATAAGCTTGTACCATTCAGGAGAGGGCTGGGCAGTACAGGACATACATTTCTGGCGGGAAATTAGGACTGGGGGTGTGTTGGGGTCACCCCACAATATAATCAAGGCTAGCAAGAGCCAAAGCATGGCTGGTTAGCTGCAGCTCACACAGACATAGCTGGGATTGACCTGCATGCTGGAGGCTGTTTATGAGCAGTCCAGACTAGAGGCTGGAGTAGTAAAGCAATGTAAAGGGCACCCCAGATTAGAGGGCAGGGGTGATACCCAGGGTACACTCCAGACTATCTGTATGTCACAGTGGTGTACAGGAATTATTGGCAGGATTTTGTGATGACTGTGTTACTGGCTATGGTTGGAAGATAACCAGGGTGTGGGTGCAAGCCTGACAGCACATATGCTGCCTTCTTCAGCATCAGCAAGACAGCACATGTAACAAACTTGTTAATTTATATGGTCTCTGGAATAAGTGCCTGCAGCACCTCATGGGACTGTGAGGTGGTAAAAGGTGCATGCTAAATGCTCTTTACTTTAGTGTTCATTCTTAAAGGGTCTTTTCAGATTTTTATAACTTTGACAAACATTTTTTGGCTGAAGTATTGTACATTTAAGTTGGGAAGTGATTTGTTTCTGTAATTTTTAGCACTGAAAAGACACAAATATTATTTTCAATACACATGGATATAAATTTAATTTAAAGCCTCTTACGGTGAGAGTGAAAGTAGCAGTACTCACCTGTGATGAAGGCCTCGGAGTTTACAGCTTTCTGTCAGCATCATTGTCACTTGCACTTCTGAGGCTTGATCTAAAAAAAAAAAGACAAGACAAGAAGGAACTGTGACCAATATTCATTCTGCAAACAAACTAAAGTGTAATTTTTTACAAAACTGGTTAAATAGGCACATGCACAAGTGACCAAAACTGATTTTCAACAGGCCAGCTTAAATAAATCAAGTGAACTGACTCAAGATCCTTCTGAAGTGAATGCAAAAGTAGTTATCTGCATTAAATGTTCTTTATTTTCAACTTGTAGCCAGCTGTGGATATACTAGATATTTTTTCACGCTTCAACTGCACACTAAAGAATACCCGATTTGATTTATTACTAGATTTATTAATTTTAACTAAATATAAAGTAAGGTAGGTGAGTTTTGATGGCCATTTTTGTAACACTGCTCCCTTTGACCACCACCCACAAAAAATAACCCATACACTTACAGCGAGAACTCTACAACAATCACATATTACAGCAAGGAAAAAAATGGACCAATTAAAAATGAGGGTTTATTTTTAAAAAAAGTTTATACATTTCCTCTCCTAATTTTTTAAAATGTCTTTTCAAAAACAAAACAAGGATTAGACAAACATATTCAGGAAAATCCCTTATTGAAGCTTTCTTACAACTGCTCCAGAATCCTTCCTACCCTCACATATGCATAGCCAACCTATGGAATTCACTTCCACAAGATACTGAATCTGAGCTTGGTCGGATTCAAAATGTCATCTTGTTCACATAGATGCCTAATATTCAGTTACATTAGATAAGATACAAATGTAAAATGCATAAACCCTTGTACCTATGGGGTAAGTCAACTGGTTGGTGTGAGCAAAGCGTTTCCTGTAAGGGCATGTTACTTTATTAATGTCCATTATGAGGGGGTCACACCTTAATCTGCAATGTCTGGTACTGGTTACCTTTTGACCAGGATAGTGAACCACTGGTTTAATCTGATATGGCAATTTCATGTTAGTAGCAATCCTATGTTTGATTACTATAAACCCTCACCTGTAGCGCTTCCTGCCTGGAAGTGTTGGAGTTTCCCAGTGAGGCAAGAGGGGGTGTTTCTGAGCAGGGAGACAGGTGTTTGAAGCTGTTCTGAGCTGGGATGGAGCAGTGAGAATGGTTTGGTTAAGCGAAAGAGGGAGTAGAGTCAATTGGTGAATGTGTGTAAGTAAAGAGATGCTATTGGGGGCGGGGAAGGAAGAGAGGGAAGGAAGAGAGGGAAGGGAAGGTGCTTGGGACAAGTATCACAGGGATAAATGTTGCTGTATTGGTCCCAGGATATTAGGCAGTATCTTTTCTTGGATCAACTTCTATTGGTGAAAGACAAGCTTTTGAGCTATGAAGAGCTCTTCTTCAGGGATATATATCATTTTCTCCCTACCTGGCACCCTTCACGGCAGGAGAGTCACTGTACAAACTCCCCTAGTGGACTGTTGGCCTCTATTTGTGGATATGCTGCTGGAAGCAAAGACCTGAAGCAGCTTAGTGTGCTCAGTATGATTTCTGTTAATCATCAGCCATTACTCCCCACATCAATGCTGGTACACAGGCCACACTGAAGATCCCATTGGACTGTTTGAACAAGAGTCCTAATTTGGAGCATTGGTAGCAGAGAGGAAATGGAGAGGAGTAAGGTACTCCGTTCATGTTTCCTACTGCCATTCCTACAGGGCAGATTAAGGTTATTTTGTGGGAGTAGAAATCTGTGTAGTATTTCTTGCAACAGGAGGCTTTTGGGGAGATATATGCTGCTGAGGCCTTAACTGAGCATTTCCTGGTTTTATAAGGCTTGACGTCTCATGTTATGAAAAGGTATGGTGAGCTTTCTGGTAAGCGATTTAAATATGCAGTGAAGGAGACAAAAATTCCTATGTAGTCTTGTGCACCAAATGAGAGAAACTTCAACATTTTATTAAGATGGAGACCTTGTCTACACTACAGAGTTTTGTTGACAAAAGTTAGCTGTTGTCAACAAAACAGTGGGGGTGTACACCCTGAAATGCTCCTTCTGCCGATGTAACTCCTCTGTTATGCCAACAAAATAAAACCACGTCAACAAGCAACACAGAGCTTTTTGGGACGCTGAGCGATGCAGCGTCAGTGGAGACACTGAGCTTACTTATGCCACCCTAATTGGCCTCCAGGAGGTGTCCCACAATGTCCATCAGGACTGCTCTGGTCAGCAGTTTGAACTCTGCTGCCCTGCAGTTACACAGACATGCGCCCATGGATTTTAGGCCCAGGAATTTCTGAAATTCCTCTTCCTGTTTGCTCGGCACGGACTGTTCACACAGCATGTTCCCAGCTGACCATGCTGGCTTTCCTCAACAGACATGGTCCTGCTTGGAGTACACCAGAGCTGTTGGATCTGTGGGGAGAGGAGGCTGTGCAGTTGCAGCTTCACTCAAGCTGTAGTAATTTTGATATCTATGGGCTGATTGCTCGTGGCATGCAGGAAAATGGACACAAAAGGGACACGCAGCAGTGCTATGCTGAGATCAAGGAGCTGAGGCAGGCATACCAGAAGGCCAACCATCGCTCTGGTGTGGCACCAAAGACATGCTGCTCCTATGTGAAGCTGCGAGCCATAGTCGGTGGCAAACCCAATGCCACCACCGAGAGCTCCATGGATACTTCGGGGGACTGGAGGCAACAGCCAGCAGTCAACCCCGAAGACCAAGTGGTAGATGAGGAAATGGAGCTAGAGGGGGGACGTGGGACATGTGATAGGGTCGTCTGGTGACGTGACAAGCCAGGACCTCATTTTGACTATGGAGGGGTCTGCCAATCCCAGCACGCTGGCTCTGGTGTGCCTGAAGCAGGAGAGGCTAGCTCTGGTAAGCATGCCTTTTGCTTTGATATGCACACTGAGGATAGGCGACTACCATCTCATTTACTTTGTTATATGACAGAGGAGGGATAAGGGGTAGAAATTAACAACAGAGCCTACACAGCTATGCAGTGGGGGAGCAGTGGAAAAGTTTGTCCCAGGAATCCTCCATAGTGAGGACAATATGTTTCACAAAGTGCAGCAGTCAACAGATACAGCAGATAGCAAAACAAGAGCGTGGAGGGAGACAGTTAATGACAAATTCAGACTGGATAGCCTGGAAAGGAGACAGGAGCAGGAGTGGATGATAAAGCTACTGGAGGACCAGAGATGCTCAAGTCCCTTATAGCGCTGCAGTCTGAGCACATCTGTACACGACTCCCCCTGCAGCCAATACAGAACGCCATTCCATGCCCTCCCCAAATTCCCTCAAACACATTGCCCGCATGTACCCCTTGCTCCCTCCCTAGAGACTGGTTTCATGATGAAAGCTGGAGTTACAGCTGTGAGTGCCTTAACTGAGAGACTGTTCCTCACTGGTATGTCCTGTTTGCAAACAAATAAAAAAAAAGGCATTTTATCCTTTTAATTAAAAGTATAGTCTTTGAAACAAAGTGAGTCTGTGCGTCATGCACACGGTATCTGCTGCTAAAATTCATAACAGTGGCTATAGGCAGGAACATTAGCTCACTACAATTAAAGCTCAGGAAGAAAGCATTACGGGGGTCATTCAAGGCAGCAAGTAAACATTGTCTGGCCAAATGCATCACAAAGACACATTACTGGGGCTGTGTTCCCTGTAAGCTGCACGCATGGGCAGCTGTACAGGAGAGATTTAAGTGGCACCCAGCTGATAGAGCACATACAGCCAGCAGCATGTGTTCAGGTGCCCTTTCCCCCACGCTGCTCCATCCTGCAGCTGCTCCTGGGACCCTCCTGCTGGCTGTGCAGAGTGGGGAGGAGAATGCTGATGTTAGGGTGTCCCCCTCCCCTGTACCCCATCTCCACAGAGCAGGGCAGAGGGGACAGCCTGGCTCAGGAGGACTTGGAGCTACTGCGGTCTGAGCGCGTGCCTTTCTTAAAAAGACAGTGCACTTTTTCTGAGATTTCCCCAGCAGCCAGCTCAGTCTCTCTCTCCCCCTCCCCACACACACACACACACACACACACTCTCTCTCTCCCACCCCATGTATCCCAACTTCACAGAGTGGGGGGAAGGGAGAGAGACAACAGGTCTCAGGACCGAGCAGGAGAGCTTTCAGTAAGCATTTTAGAGAGACAGTGCACTGCTTTTCCCACCAGCCAACACACACACAGTCTCTCTTACACACAAGTCTCTTTCACACTCGCCTCCCAACACATACTTGCATTATTGTTACTTCTTGCTACTTCGTGCAATGCACATATATTCTCTGTAATTTTATTCTTTCAAAGTGTTATTTTAGTGTTTTGACTGGTCTATGCATTTCATAATTTTTATTTCTCTTACACTTAAAATTTAATTCTTTGAGTAGTGAGTTCTAAAATGCCTAACCTGGCTGGAGTAATTATCCCTATGGTAACTTAAAAAAATTATATATATCTCATATCTAGGTTTTGTGTTTATATTGGTGGCGCACATAGGCACATACCTCGGTGCACATAAAATGTATTCTGCACATGGATGGAAAAAATTAGAGGGAACATTGCTGGGGGTCATTGTCAAAATGCTCCTTCAAAGCCTCCCTGATTTGAATAGCTCCCTGCTGAGTCCCTCTAATTACCTTGGTATCTGGCTGCTCAAAATCAGCAAGCAGATGATCCACCTTAGCGCTCCACCCCTAGGGAAGCTTTTCCCCCTTCGCTCTGCAAATATTATGCAGAGCACAGCAGGCTGCTAAAACCATCGGAATATTATCCTCACTGAGGTTTAATCTGCCAAAAAGGCAGCACCAGTGACTTTTTAATCTGCCAAAGGCACATTCAATGGTCATTCAGCACCAGCTGAGCCTGTTGTTGAAGCACTTCTTGCTGTTGTCTAGATTCCCAGTGTAAGGCTTCGTGAGCCAGGGGAGCAAGTGGTAGGTGAGGTCTCCCAGAATCACTATGGCATTTCCACATCCCCCATTGGAATCTCTGGTCTCGAAAGAAAGTCTCAGCATGAGCTTTCTATACAGTCTAGCGTTCCTAAAGATTCATGCATCATGACTCT